TTCTAGAAAAGTATGGTACTGCCGTTTTTCGTTACTTTTCGTGACAAGACAAAGATAATAAATATTTTACTATCACTTGTATCATATGTATACCTAATTTAACGGACCAATAGTTAAAGTATCTTATTATTACTTATATCTATATGTATATTTTTATTTGACTATTAATAAAATCATAAGTACTTTAGTCACAGTCACCCTACAATCGATTTGCCCAAGTGTGGCCGGGTAAGTTGTCAAACGTCGACGGATCACGGTAGGATACTTCAAAAAAGATATAAATAAGTACTTGCTAACCCAGCCTCGCGTTGCCACAGCTTATAAAATATTACAGTTGCGTGAATTTATTATTAATACAAGATATAGTATAGTTAAATCATCAATGTATGTAATGTGTTTGTCTCGCAGATGATTGGAGGGCAGTGGCAGCAGAAATATTCGACAATTTATTTTAAAAAGGCGACAATATTCCTCCCGAATTCATGAATTTCTTTTGCAAAATAAAACATTAGACATGCACGATGCCACCATTAAACACGTTTTATTTAAACAAGATCAACGAGCAACAAATTCATACGAAAACTAATAAATATTAATACTGAAATGAGGTTCACGTGGTATTTATTACTAGCGCTAAGATATTCGGTGTCAAAACACAATTGTGTAAATAAAAAAAAGGAAATGAATAATCAGTAAAATTCTGTGAATCTATTCAACAACTCTTTCAAACGTCTTTTTGTATAGAAATATAATTTACAAAACATTAAACAAAAGGGAACTCTTATCTTTGGGTTCAAAAGGTAAGATTCCATAATGGTTAAATGTGAAAGGTAAGATACAATGTGAAATATTTGTATTTAATTCTATTGTAATGGGTCTATTGTATGTATTGAAGTTAAATAATATTAGCTCGCCTTCCATCGCTTTTAGTTTTAGGAAACACTGATGTTCATTTTTAAATTAAATATAGATGACGCGGATACGAAGTACTCCCACCGTTTACACCTTTCCTGGACTACGACAAACCAAAATCAGCAAACTAACAACAATTGATTTAAAACCTTTGATTTCATTTAAACATTATTTATCAGACCAATATTTTATAATCATGTTAATTACTAAACTAATTGTTTGCTAAAATGCATTCCTTGACAGTTACTCACTGAATTTAATAGTAGAATGTAGAAAGAATCAATAGAACGGAAATGACTTGGTATTAATTATATCGTAACATGTTGTAAAACCTGCTGTACTTGATTTAGGGAAGCGTGTATATTTTTAATTTGACATTCAATCAAATACTAAGAACTTTAGTTATAGTCACCTCACAATCGATTTCCCAACCTACTTATGGCCGTGCAAGTCGGCAGACGTAAAATTTTTAACAATATGATAAGTATTAAAACGTGCAAAACATAAAATGGTGACGGATCTCATAAAACTTCTTAAAGATAATTTAACAGAGCAAAAATTTATTAAAGAAAGATATTAAAATATATATTTCTTGCAGATTTTAAAGATCAAAATACTTACTACAACACAATAAAAATATTTGTATCACTTCCTTAATATATGCATTGGTCATTACTTTGTCGGTTTCAAAACATTGTATTAATACCACATCCGGTAAAAGACTGGTAGATCAGTATGTTGGAATTGAAAATTTCATAACTTAGATATACAGTTGAATATTATGTTTGATCAATTTGTCAACAGAGACTGTTTGTTTCAGTTTCTCTATGGTAAATACAAAATGGTTAAGATTTTCACATACATGGTCAATATGCTGCTTTCGATTAAGATCTTTGTTAATAATTATTCTAAGAAAACGTATTTAATCTACTTCTTCTACCTCATCATTTCTGAAGTTGATTTTTAAAGGAATAGGATTTGCATTGTATTTCTTTTTAGATCTGAATTAAATTAATTGTGTTTTACTTATATTTAATTTTTAATTATTTTAATCCAACCACTGAGTACCGTCTGATAGTGCTGCGATTATTTTACATTCAAATGGGTCTATTTTACTTTTATCATATTTAATAATATTTGTTGTATCATCTGTGAACATTATGCATTTATTACTTGCGCTAAGGGACAGATCGTTTATGTAAATTAGAAAAAGTAGTGGTCCAAGGATACTTCCTTATGGAACAGCGGTATGATTGGTGCTAAAATCAGATAGATATGACTGTTTTATATTTATTATATATTTATTTACAATTTCACTCACTTCGATAGCCTATAATCTGTTGTTTAAGAAACGACATAATCTGGCCTGTAACACCACAATTACTTATATTGTGCAAATGTCTAAGAGTGACTTACAAAATCAAAAGCTTGCTTATATCTAGGCAAAAAGACATAACAAGAGTTTTGTTATTGTGGCTTGCAGTTATGTGGCGCATAAATTAAAAGCATGTTAAAGAAATCGGGCGATCCTTACAAAACCATATTTATCTGAATGAAAGGTAAGGTATGGTTGTTGAAGAAAATTTAAAAATCTATAATACATAGCTTTTTTAAACATTTTAGACATGATTGGAATTAAATTTATAAATCTATAGTTATTTGGATCTATTTTTTCTGTTCTTTAATAAAGGCTTCACAATACTGGTTTTTAGTTGTTCTGGAAACTTTCCCTCACGAAATGACACATTTATAAGAAGAGTAATAGTATGACATATAAAAGAAGCACTCAATTTAATAAAATGTATAATAATACTATCGCTACCATTGAATCTACTATTATTTAAAGGAAGGATGATTGTTTAAGTTTCATTTTCATCCATAGGACTTAAATATTATAGAAGAATTCGTATTTCAATAATTGATTGAAATTTTATAATATTTGTAGTCATTGTTTTAGTCAATTTTTTAAAATAATTATTTTAAATATTATCTATATCAATAGGATTACTGTATATCGGAATGTCATACGAAATGGAATTAATGTCGTAGTTATATGTATTATTAAGATGTCAGTGATGAGATTGTATTCCAGGTAGCTTTAAATTTATTCTTATAAATTTGTATATATCTATTATTACTATTCTTTTGTGCCCATAAAATACATCTTTTTAAAAGACTGTTATATCTTTTTAATTTTACTTTATTTTCTGATTTACAGTGTTTGATATTTAAGTTTAAAAAAAATAAAGATCGCTTAGCTTTACTTAGCTTACCAAATCTGTTTATATTATGATTATAAATTTTTCACTTTGATGATTTGGACGCAAAGGTCTTAAAAAAGGAGTATTATATCATATAAATTTTTGAAAGCATTAATAAACTTAAAATTATCCAAAACTTTCGAAAAAGAAGGAGAGGACAAACATACACAAAAGTTAAGCATGTTTTATACGTTATAGTCACGTCTTTCATAAAAAGAAGAAAAAACAAATACAGTATAAAAAAATGTTTTGATCATTTTAGATTACATTACGGGACTCATTTATGAAATTATTAAAGAAATATTTCAGTGTTTTTGTTTATTTTATTCAAATTGAATACTTGCAGTTTGGTCAATACATGATTTTCTTTTAATAGGGATAATTATATGATGTCCTGACCATAGTTTTGTAGTATACCTAATAAATCATAGGCGGCAGTATCCCGTTTTAAAATATTAATGTTTCAGTTACCAAACAGCACTATTTTTTTGTTCTTATATTTATTTTTTATCAAACATAGAAGTTTAGCTTATTTTTATAAAAATATACCTATGCGTGATTTTTTTTGAACTGGTTTTCTATAAATACTTACTATTACAAGTCTTACTCCTACAACTTGAATGCCACAACATTCAAAATAGTAATCTGTAGCTATATCCAAAATAAAAGTAAAATTTTAGGTATGAAAACCACTTGACAGACACACGCAACATATGACAGTGAACATTATTAGAATAAAATATGTATAAATTCTGATTGATGAGTGATGACATACAAAGTTTACTTCTATTATAATTTTATAATTTTGTCTTTTTAAATGTCAATTCACCACTAAATAGGCCATTTACAACTTGGGTACTCGATGCATTTGTCTTGATAAGCGCCGTTATTTTATATGTAGCATTCCATTTACTCGACCTTGTTTGTGATAGTTTGGTTGACAGCCCTCTCACACTTTCATCCTCAAATATTATTTGATTTTCGAATGAAACTTTTTTTCACATGGTTTCTATGATGTTCCAAAAAATGTGAAACATTTGAATATCGACTTGCAACTATTTTTGTTATTCACCTTAGACAAGACAGATGGATACTGCGAAAATTCGAGTGATTTTGAATACGAGTTCCAACGCGGAGAGAGGTCTGCTAATGAATGCACCATGCGATTGAGTGCTTTAAATTAATAAATATTCTTAACGAGAAAACGAGAGAGAAAAAAAAAGGAACAGATTAAAGGAGAGACAAAGTACTAAAATGAAGAAAGATCCAGCCTGAGGAAATAGTCCTTAACTTGTTTCACGAACGAGTCCCGAGACTGCGCACGTCTAATAACTACAGGCAAAGAGTTCCACAATATAATGGTTTTGACGAAAAATGACTTCGCTACAAAATCAGTCGAGTGGGATGGGATAACTAAGGAAAGGTTGTGGGAAGACCGTAGATCTCGGATAGGATTAGTGGAGGAAAAGATAAAGCGCTCTTTAAGATAAAGAGGAGTATGTGGATAAAAAAGAATGGAATAAAGAAGTGATAGGAAGTGGCAGTCTCTTCTACGAGAAATAGGTAGCCAATGAAGTTGAGAACGGTCATTGGAGATATGATCGTATTTGCGTAGTTTTACATTTTTTATGTCAGATTTTCATTATACAAGTACTATAGTTACTTATTTTGAGATTTAAGCAGTGTGTACGATGTTGGCCTATTTTTTTTTTATTATTAAATATAAAAGGAATCTTTCATTTAGTACTGCATCCATTTCTCAAAAGTGCACAAAACATTTTCTTCTAATACGTAAGGAATTAAAGTAGAAATAAAATCTATTCTTACATGATAGGCTCTATTTTGATGATGCGCACATCCTTAGTGGCGACAGCGAGCAGGTGGAACGAGCGGCCCAAATTGGGCGCGAAAGCGATGTCATTGACGGGCTCCAACACTGAAGATAAACAATCCGTTCGCGTCCAACGCCGAGAACCTTCACTGTACCTGTTGATGATAAATAGATTGGTCGTCCATTAAACTTGTGTGGCTCGAAAGAGGGGATCAAAAAAATCATGAACAAAGGGAGAGCTTATCGAATTAGGTATGTTTATAAATATCTAAAATATTTTCTATAGCTTAAAGGTTCACCAGTCTCATGTGGTATGGGTCTTAAACCCACAACATTCCACCATCCAGACGACGGCTTTAACTATTGAGCTAAAAATTTGTAGTCGTTCAGATAACATCTTCAGTCAAGAAGTTAAGCAACTTCAGGGAAGGTCAATGCCTTAGCAAGGGAACATTAATGATAATGATAACTATGCACAGACCCTTAATTAAATAGGTCTAGTCAAATGTTCCATCCCTGTACTTACTCGTATAAGAACACTTTTCCATTGCATGCCGTACTTTTGTCTGTGGGTACATTGGCTATCGCATTTGTTGTGTTCGGTTCATCACTTCCCACAGCTAACATTGGTGGATTTATTCTGTTGAAACCAGACAAAATAAAATTATATAATGACAATACAAAAATGCACTTGCACATACCGAATCGAGCATTTTATTAATTACCAACCTGCGGTTAGTGTACATCATGGGCGTTTATAACGTAAGAAAAGGAAAAATAATACATGTTTAGTTTTTAAATACTATCAACGTCCCGTCAATTGCTAATGCACTGGAATTTTGTCTAAATAACTTCCGCGTGACGTATTATGAAAATAGAAAGTATAGGTAGCACAAAACGCAAGAGATAAATTATTTAATAATTTTTGAAAACCCTAAAATATTGTTATAATAATTGAATAACTTTTAGTTTATTAATTTACTGTATGATTTTTTGTAAAAGAATCCATTTATATGTAGAAATTGAGATATATAAGAAATAAAAAAATACGAAAATGTTACATTTATTTTGTAATAACGTGATAATTAACGAAAAGTTATTTTAACCATTAAAAAAATGTCCTTTTCGACAATAAAGACGTTAGGGGTCATCCATAAATTACGTCACACTTTAGGAGGAGGGGGAGGGGGTCGACAATCTGTGACATTTAGAACAATATTTAGTAGAATTTGTATAGATAGATAGGTGACAAGAGGTTTAAAAATCCTGAATTTTGTGTGAAAAATCCTAAAATTATTGTGAAAATCATAATTGCAGTTGTTATTTCAGTCAACAAGAACCATGACCATAACAACAAAACGATAACAATCGAAACTAACAAAACTGATGTGTGTTCTCGACCGAATAACAGACTCAATAAGCGTACTCGTCAACCGGTGTTTATATGTTATAGGTACAAATTTTTCCTGACATTTCGGCCCGACGTATTAGCTATTTGCGGGGATTAAAAAAGTATGGCGCCATGTCATAGAAGATTTAACATTTGTTATTTGTTACTTGATTTTAGAATTCAAAAGAACTGGTTACTTTCTTGGTGACTGTATTACTATTAATTTTAGAGCAGTCTCCTAGTTAACGAATCAGCTACTATTAATTCTTTTAAATATTTTTCTTGAAAATAATTCACTTTATACAATAAGGACAATAACAATTTTTGTTTATTTTACGTTTTTTTTTGCGTAATCAATAAATTACAGCTATAAATTGAGTTAAAATGTCGCCTTTTTACATTTTCTTGTGTCTGTCCGTCTGTCACCAGACCGTATCTTATGACTGCAAAAGTTAGAGAGTTGAATTTTTTTACATGATACCTGGGTAAAATAAATTCAACTGTCTTCCACATTGTTGATATTTTTTTATACCTAGGCATCATCCATATTTTATAATGTTAGGCTGATAATGTACTGCATTTAAAAGCACACAGTTTATGTATAGAAAATGAAAAATGTACATTGTGATACTTGTATTCTGGCTGGTATTTAATCATTTATTATCTTTTTTAAGCAATCTTATATAAGATGTTTATAGAGTAATCAACAGAGTTTTTTACATCTCTTTTAGGAAATGAATTAATATCAAGAAAAACATTTTTTATATGTCTAAAACAAACAATATGATTTTTAAGTTTATGTTTTTTACTGTCTTGTGCCATTTGTGCCTATTCTCCATAACCAAAAGAAGTTTCAGACTCATAATCATAATCATCATCAGCCCTATTATGTCCCCACTGCAGGGGCTCAGGCCTTCCTTATGGATGGCTAAGATGGATGAGCCATGACGCTCCACACTGGCCCAATGCGGATTAGATGGTATTAACGACTGCATATGCAGCCTGGACCAATGGTTAACATGCCCTCTGAAGCACGGAGTAGCTCAAGATAATAATTTTTGGGCAAAGTATTTACTCCATAAAATTCTATAATGTTATCAATACAAATATATAAATATTACTTACTTTGACATAGTTGGATTCCATGATAAACAACTTATTGAAACTTTGGTTGGTATCTCATGCTGTAAGGTCCATTGTGCTAAGTTCATAACATCTGGTGCTTCGTATATTCTAAAACAAAGAAATTATAACTTGCTTTTTAAAGCTATGTATTAATTTCCACATGGTGGCAATCCTGTTGTCACAAACTACACTAAGTTTCGTTTTTAGTCCCATCAAATTGTGTTAAGTATTTTTAAATAAAAGTTAGACTATTTGTTTAATATAGTGTAATAATGATACAATAGAATTTGTCTATAAGCACTGTTTCTGAAATAAATTAGTTGAGATAAACATTTGATATATATTCAAAATAACAGAACTACCAAAGTTACTTTACCTTATTATACCATCGGCCGAACAAGTCACTAACAACAAACCCAAATGTTTAGGGCCAAATTTAACATCTGTAACAGATGTCCTAGAGTCTACAAGATTTGACCGTTTTACCCAAGTACGTAAACCCTTTTCTGACCCTGAAGCATTTGTGTCACCTATAAAAACAAAAACAGTATGTCATAGGATTAACCCAAACATCCATAAAAAATTTCATTAGTTTAAAGAGACATTACCCATACTAATTTGACATTCATTAAGAGCTTAAAGGTGTCATTAAACCTTAATTGATATTAGTACAACTGACCTTATAAATAGTAAATCTGAGCATGATTTTTGTATAACCTAAACAGGACCTACCTACTTCTTCCCATACTGCTGCAGTTCTATCAAAAGAACATGTTGCAATAACTTGTCCAAACTCTGGATGTGCCCAAGTAACTTTCCATACAGAGCCATGGTGAGCTTTCCAACTTCCAGTCAACCGCCAACCACCTCTGCTATCAGAGTCCCAAATCTAAAAAATACTTAGACATACTTTAGGATATCAACATTAATAATAATATAGGCATTACAATTTTAAGTGGCAATGTTGATATTTCAGCAGGATTACTATTATATTTAAATTCTTAAGTAACATATGAGTGTCGGTCTAAGTTCGGTAAAAAATTAACCTACCTTAACATACTGATCGCTGGAGCAAGTGGCCATTCTTTCACCATAAAAGTCATATGCAATATCGTGAATGAGATCCTTGTGGTCAGCGGATATGGTTTGTGATTCAAATAAATTTGATACATCTGCCATGATTTTCACGATGAAACGTCGCAATTCGCAAAACTAATAAACAATTCTTTGGAATAAATATTTTACTACCTGATCCTCGCTGTCACTTTCACAAACAAACTAGTGATGAGCCATGAGTCCTGATTTTACCTGATTACTAGAGTGAATTTTTCAAACTCGTACTCGAACGAAAAAATATATCACTCAAGTATCGAGTTAACTCGACGCATCGAGATGATTCTCTTGCCACTTTACATCACTTCGCTATTCTTATTTATTAATATATGCTGCTTATTCTGTATTTTCTTGATTACTTATATAAATAATATGTCAAAACTCTTTTAACCTGTATTTTATTTATATTATGTAGCTATTTGTTTAAAATTACTAAGAGAAATCTCACTCAAGTAGCACGTTCTAATTTTTTTACTCGTATCACTTGAAAACTCGAGTTTGACTCGAGTGAGGTATTTAATTGGTACGCGTCATAAAATTATACTCGAATTGCATCAATATAACAAACAAAGTAGAACTCGGAAAATATCCAAATGACAAAAATCTATTTTTTTTTAATTATTAATGAAAAATGCTTAAAAAAAATTCATTAAGAATATTTTTCGGTATGGCATTGTAAATTATCATATGTTATAAATAAATCTTTTTTAATTTACAAAATATAACAATTATTATATATCGACGAAATCGAAAAATTTGTTAATAATTATTATATTTTATATTGTTACGAGCTAGGATTCGGGATAAAATCGATGCCAATTAAATTCACAGTCCGACCTAATTTAAATAATAAAATTACAAAAATGATTCAATAACAAAATCCACGCTTCGTCGACTTTACAATTCACGTCAATACTCTCGCTTCACAGTACTATTCGATCAACTCGATAATTCACTTCACTAGTTTTCATTGCTTTCTACAATTAATCTAAGTGTTGTTATATTTATAGCATTCTAAATGCACATCTTAATTAGCAAAAATAAAATTACTATAATAATTCTATTTTCTTTATTACCTAGTATTGTCCGTTTTATTGGGCACATCATTACGATACTCAAATGCACTTCACACTGCATTATTTTTCTCTTTGAAAAACACATAAAAGCACCTCACTAGATGGCGACTCTACCAAAAGTCGATTTTTGCAGAACCAAATTTTACGGCCATGCAGTTGGTTCAAAGACTCCAGTCAGAGCACCAGTTGCTTGTGAGTGACCAAACTGTGAGGAGAAGACTGCATGAAGCTAATCTTCATGCTCGCAGACCGCTTCGTACTCCTGCACTACGCCGAGGAAATCGCGGAAGAAGATTACAGTGAGCTAGTGAACATTTCCTCTGAGAAGGTATCCAGTGATTTTTAGTGCTGTTTCCCGATGAGTCCCGGTTCATTTTCCACCCTGATTCACGAAGAATACGCGTATAGCGAACTCCTGGTCGTGAGAGCTGCCTGCAACACCCTCAGAAAGTCCATCCATACTATGGTAGGACGATTATGGGTTTGGGCGGTAATTCGTGTTGGTGGAAGAACAGACATCGTTTCGATCAGAAACACCATGACTGTTGAAAAATACCTCAACCAAGTGCTAGTACCAATAGTCTACCCACATTGACTACAAATGGGTCAAGAATTCACGCTCATGCAACAATGCTCATCCCCACACAGCGCGAGTGGTCACCAGCTGGCTGCAGGAGCACGATGTATCGGTCTTAGACTGGCTCGCGCAATCACCAGACCTAAGCCCCATAGAACACGTGTGGGACATGCTCTAAAGAATGGCTATGAGGAATTTAGCTACAAACATTGTTACTGAAGACTTTGTATCTTTCCCGGACCTGGGACAATATCCCGCAGCAAGACTGATAAGTTGATTCGAAGCATGAAAAATCGTTGCAGGACAGTTTTTAACGTCATGAGTGGTTTTACTCACCATTGATTTTCGCAAAATTGCAAATAACAGAATAATTTCGCTATATTTTTCACTTTTTCTTAAAAATGTATTGTTATTTTTACCATTATTCTACTTTTCGTCTTTACTTAAATAATTTAAAAAATATTTATGTTTTATTCTTTAATCTACGCTAAAAATGGGCTTTATAAAAATATAAACATGTTTTATGTTATTCAGAAGAAAAACTGAGAAAATTAAAAAAAATTAGGTATACTACAAAACTATGGTCAGGACATCATATAATTATCCCTATTAAAAGAAAATCACGTATTGACCAAACTGCAAGTATTCAATTTGAATAAAATAAACAAAAACACTGAAATATTCCTTTAATAATTTCATAAATGAGTCCCGTAATGTAATCTAAAATGATCAAAGCATTTCAATCACAAAAACACAAAAAAAATGGGAGCGTTGCGTACAGGCTGTGGTGGGTGATTTGTTATTACATTTAGCTAGGAGGCCTCTTAGACATCGACTGCATGAGCTTTCGTCTCTCAGCTACAACTTGTGAACGTCGACTAATTATAATATTAGTTCTTAACTATAGTTAAGAGATTGCTCAAACTCGGTTCGATAATTATCTGCGCGTAGGTTATATAATATCTATCCTGTCTTATTGACTATATAAAAGAAAAATCATGTCAATCGGTCACTAACAAAACAAAACGTGATATCACGGTTATGGTCACGTTATCGTGAAGTGGCTGAAAGACACCTAGGGTGGAAGCGCATAACAACGCATCAACATCGTCTAGGGATATTTTTATTATTCTTAATTTTCTCTCTCTCTTTTCTAGTTTATTTTGGATATAGCTACAGATTACTATTTTGAATGTTGTGGCATTGGAGTTGTAGGAGTAGGACTTGCACTAGTAAGTATTTATAGAAAACCAGTTCAAACAAAATCACACATAGGTATATTTTTATACAAATTAGATAAACTTCTAGGTTTGTTAAAAAATAAATATAAAAACAAAAAAATAGTGCTGTTTGGTGACTGGAACATTAATATTTTGAAACGGGATACTGCCGCCGATGATTTATTAGGTATACTACAAAATAAACTATGGTCAGGACATCATATAATTATCCCTATTAAAAGAAAATCACATATTGACGAAACTGCAAGTATTCAATTTGAATAAAATAAACAAAAACACTGAAATATTCCTTTAATAATTTCATTAATGAGTCCCGTAATGTAATCTAGAATGATCAAAACATTTTTTTATGCTGTATTTGTTTTTTCTTCTTTTTATGAAAGACGTGACTATAACATATAAAACATGCTTAACTTTTGTGTATGTTTGTCCTCTCCTTCTTTTTCGAAAGTTTTGGATAATTTTAAGTTTATTAATGCTTTCAAAAATTTATATGATATAATACTCCTTTTTTAAGACCTTTGCTTCCAAATCATCAAAGTGAAAAATTAATAATCATAATATAAACGGATTTGGTAAGCTAAGCAAAGCTATGCGATCTTTATTTTATTAAAACTTAAATATCAAACACTGTAAATCAGAAAATAAAGTAAAATTAAATAGATATAATAGTATTTTAAAAAGATGTGTTTTATGTGCACAAAACCTGGAATAAAATCTCATCACTGACTTCTTAATAATACATATAATTACGACATTAATTCCATTTCTTATGGCAATCCCATATACAATAATCCTATTGATATTAATAATGTTTTCAATAATTATTTTAAAAATTTGACTAATACAATGACCCTACGAATATTATGACATTTCAATCAATTATTGAAATACGCATTCTTCTACAATATTTAAGCGCTATGGATGAAAATGAAACTTAAACAATGATCCTTCCTTTAAATAATAGTAGATTCAATGGCAGCGATAGTATTATTATACATATTATTAAAATGAGTGCTTCTTTTATATGTCATCCTATTACTCTTCTTATAAATGTGTCATTTAGTGAGGGAAAGTTTCTAGAACAACTAAAAACCAGTATTGTGAAGCCTTTATTCAAGAACAGAAAAAATTTATCCAAATAGCTATAAATCTATAAATTTAATTCCAATCGTATCTAAAATCTTTAAAAGACTGTGCATTCTAGATTGTTAAATTTTCTTGAATAACCATACCTTACCTTTCATTCAGATCAATATGGATTTCGTAAGGAACGCCCGATTTCTGTAACATGCTTTTAATTTATGCGCCACATAACTGTAAGCCAGAAGAACAAAACTATTATGTCTTTTTGCCTAGATATAAGCAAAGCTTTTGATTTTATAAGCCTCTCTAGACTTTTGCGCAATCTAAGTAATTGTGGTGTTACAAGCATGGCTCTTGAGTGAATATGTTGTTTCTTAAACAACAGATTACAGGCTATAGTAGTGAGTAAAATTGAAAAGAAATGTAAAACAGTCATATATATCTGATTTTAGAACCAATAATACTGCTGTTCCATAAGGAAGTATCCTTGGACCACTACTTCTTAGAATTTACATAAACGATCTGTCTCGTAGCACAATTAATAAATGCATAATGTTCGCAGATGATACAACAACTATTATTAAATATGATAAAAGAAAACAGACCCATTTGAATGTAAAATAATCGCAGCACTATCATACGGTACTAAGTGGTTGGATTCAAATCATTAAAAATTAAATATAAGTAAAACACAGTTAATTCTATTCAGATCAAAAAAGAAACACACTGCAAAACCTATTCCTTTAAAAATTAAGTTCAGAAATAATGAGGTAGAAGAAGTAGATTAAATACGTTTTCTTAGAATATTTATTGACAAAGATCTTAATCCAAAGCAGCATATTGACCATGTATGTGAAAAACTTGACCATTTTGTATTTACCATAGAGAAACTGAAACAAACAGTCTCTGTTGACAAATTGATCAAACATAATATTCAACTATATATCTAAGTTATGAAATGTTCGATTCCAACATACTGTTCTACCAGTCTTTTACCGGATGTGGTATTAATACAATGTTTTGAAACCGACAAAGAAATGACCAATGCATATATTAAGGAAGTGATGCTAATATTTTTATTGTGTTGTAGTAATATTAAATCTATATTTTTATATTTTTCTTTAATAAATTTTTGCTCTATTAAATAATCTTAAGAAGTTTTATGAGATCCGTCACCATTTTGT